ACTAAAATACGGTCACCGAAAAGCTTTGTCAGGAAACCCTAGCGTTTGAGCCTAATGTGAACACAATTGTCGAAGGCCAACAAGTCTTTCTTGCGACAGGTGCTGAGGAGAACGAAAGGGAGCTAAAGGGAGCGAAGATCATCGCTTCTCTTCAGCCTCCACTACCGATAGGTAGAGGTATCGCGCCGAGAGAGAGAGAGAGAGAGAGAGAGAGAGAAAAGCTTTTGGAAAACGCGTAAATTTTTTTTGGCCATTGTCGATTTTTAACAATTTTTTGATGTTATCCCAATGCAGATGAATCAGTCAGGTCGAAAAGATGACGGGCTTTTGAAAAACGTTGTGGAGTCCGCCCCACTGTTGTGACAAGCCTGCAGGTCGAGTTCGTGGGACGGTTGCCATCAATCACTTCAAAGGGGCACCGGTTGCCCTAACCTGCCCACTATCGGTTCTCAACAGGAGCAAATAGAACGGTGGTTGCCTTCTCCTGGATCCATGGAGCAGTAGGTGGGCAAGACTGGGCCTTTGGCGATGTTGTTCGATTCTTCAAAGGGAGAGGTCAGAAGTTCAGTTGTAGACCCTATGCGGAAGTTATCAGTTCATTTGAAAACCACAGAGTCAGAAGTAGCGGTTTTATGTGCAGATGTCGCCATTTTGCGAAGCGGGCTGGTCGAGGTGCTGCACAAGCTAGGAGAGCTTCACAAGTCGGTTGATCATAACAGTTTGCTTCATGAGTTCAACTAGGTGGACCAATTTTGGTTAGGAGGAGAGATGATCCTCCAAAGGTTGACTCAAAGGGTTTATGTTTCTACTGAGTCTTTAGAGGACCCGCTCATAAAGTACTTTATTCGAAACTTAAAATAATATTATTTGTAAGAAAATAGTCTTTAAATAAATTTGAAATGATGTTTCGTGTGACAATTATCATCATATGATGCTTCGTTTTACGCATCTGCTCTACAAATAAGGCGAAAGATCGTTTCTTTTTTACTTTACGTGTCTGGTTTCTTTCTCTGCACCTTCAGTCTTTCTTCTCCTTTCATCTTCTGGTTGTCTTTGGCTCTCTAAGATGGCTCCCAAAAACTCCCTCACCCTTTTTGGCTCTGTTAAGGATGCAGATCCTTCATTCTTGATGGATGACGACATTGGCATCAATTTTTAATTTCACGTGAATATAATGTATGCTTGAATGACCTTAGGGCATGCTTCACATACATATGACTCCCCAAGGCACGAGACAATTATCTTCGATCCTCTGACATGTAGTTAAGGTCATTTTGCTAAGCTTTAGCTATCAAAGAGGCGACAACCGACCGACATTATATTGATGGGATGACCCGAACTAGACGAGTTTTGATTGATGCAACGTGAACAAATCAGACCCTAAATTTGTTTACTCGTGAGGAATCTCCAAATGGAGGAATGGAAAGCACGAATGTGCCTGGAACGTCATTTTCACTTAGGAAGAGCCTTCTATATCTTGCCACTTAGCCTAAATTACCAGAAAACAAAAAAAACAACCCCAAGTAGGCTAGGTGTGACCATGCCCAAAAGTGGCCACACCCCATTTTTTGCATGGCCACACCATGCATAATCAACTTGTTTCATTACCTGGTCCATGTTTTTCCATCCAGACGCCTTCTGACCGTTGAGATATGCCATTGGACCGATCCAGAAGCCAAAAATGGCCTCTGAGCAAACCCGGGCACTTGCCAAAAGATCCAAGTGGCCATTCACCTCTACGAATATCCTTCGCGTGTGAATTTTACTTGGGAGAGGTAAGAGTGATCACAGAGAGCCTTGGAGAGTTTTGGGTAGTTCTATGGTATAACTTTTACATGCTTAATTTTCTTTACTTTTTGCACTTTTTCTTTAATGAAATTGTACTTTAAGAAAAGATATTTCTATATTTTTTTTGTTGCAGGTATAACAGGTAGGACAATTAGAGCAAATTGGAGCTGAAACGGAACAAAAGGAGGCAAATGAAGCAAATGGGGCTACCAGCATACTAGCGCCTAGGCGCCCCTTTTTGAACGCAAAGGCGCTGCACCATAGCGCCTTAGCGCCTTAGCGCCGCAGACTAGCTCCTAGGTGCCTGAGTTTTTCTAGCATACCGAGAAGACATCGCCTAGGCCCCAGAATCTTCCGAGGCGGTTTCAGGGTGAACCTGAGGGTTATTTGATGGATTTGAACGGTTTGAAAGAGGACTTCTGGCGACATTTTGCATTTCCAAGTCTGGGAATCCTTTAAGGATGCCAGGAGGATGTAGGTAGGAGTAGGAATTGTAAAATCCACCTATTCTTGAGAGATTGGAGAAGGGAATTTGAGTGAATTCTGTAAGGGATTTGTATCAGCATTTCAACGATCAGTAGAAGGCTTTGTTGGAGGGATTTACATCTCTTTCACAAGGGATAAAAACTAAACATTGAGTTTTTATTATCTTGTATTTGATGTAAACACATATTTAGTGAATTTGCTTTGATTCAATGAAGTTTTCCATGGTTTTAAACATGCTTTGTGAGTAGAATTCGTGTACTTTTCTCTTGAGTTTGTTATGTAGAACTTGTAGAATGTTGAATGCTATGAAATTGGTTTTTCTTATTTAGACGTGATGAGTATTTTACTAGGATTCATTTACATTTTGTACAGGCCATATGACTTGTTAAAATCCTTTTTTGACCCATCAGGAGTTGAAAGAGCGGTGGAGAAACGACTAGAATATTCATGTTATTCGATAGGCTATGGTGAAGTAGTCAGGAGACAATGCAAATATAGGGATCTGTGCTAATAGGGTTTGAAGATGAAGTTTCTAGGAGACAACCTTAAGCAAGAACCAAACTTTAACCATATTTATTTACGCGCTCGACAGAGGGTAAATAGATTTATGCTCCTAATTGTCACTACATCAATTGAAATTCCTAGTAGTCACACCTACAGTATATCTAGTATATCACAAGAGAAAAGTACTTTTAGCAATCTTGAATTTCACCTAATCAATTGATCTAGATAGGTTTAACTTAGTCATAGAAACTTAACTTAGAAGTAGTTTTTAGAAAAACCACTTTTAACGACATTCCAAACTAGGACATGAAAGTAGTAGACTAGAACATTGCCTTAGATATTATCTACCTCCCCTTACCTGTGGGATCGACATTTAAGACTCATTTGAGCCATATATTATTGAAACAATACGTATACTTGTGCAAGATAATAATATCTAATTTTAAGAGCTCAATCAATTAGCTGGAAAGCAGATCAAGTTTCTGGTGTCATTGCCAGGACTAATATAAATCGTGATAATTATTGGGGAGATCAAGTTTTTGGCGCCATCATCGGGGAAGCAAGCTATGGTAAGATAAACTTAAGGAGAATTTTAATTGAACTTGTAAGACTTAGATTTGGAAATTGTAGTGTTTTTATCTTGTGAGTTTAGTTATTGTGTGTCTATTTAAAAGAAAAAAAGAAAATATAAAAATATTTTTGACTGATTGATATCTATCATATTAGTTAAGTCTTTAGAGTTGAATGCGTAGTTCAGGAGCTGCAGACCTTGAACCATATGACTCAAAACTAGATAGAACTTTTAGGAGGATTAGAAGATAGAAAAGACTTCAAGAATCTGCCATTTCGATTCAATGAAGAATCAGTTCATGAATATAATGCTAATATCGTGGAAATGGCGAATCAACAAATCAATGAAGAATCAGTTCATGAATATAATGCTAATAGACTTTTAAGAGATTATGCAAACCCTACGGTGGATGAAATTCACTTTATTCAAACCTTCACTGTAAAAGCAAACACATTCAAACTTAAACTTGTTATAATTAAAATAGTACAAAATAATCAATTTTATTCAAACCTTCACTGTAAAAGCAAACACATTTGAACTTAAGCTTGTTATAATTAAAATAGTACAAAATAATCAATTTGGAGGATCCCTGTCTGAAGATCCTAACTTACATTTAGCGGGTTTCTTAGAACTCTGCGTCACATTTCGATAAAACAGTGTTTCTAACGAAGTTGTTCGACTTAGAGTTTTTCTCTTTTTCTAGAGGGATAAAACCAAAATGTGACTTAATTCATTAGCACCTAGATCACTTAGGATGTGGAGAGATTTAGCCCAAAAATTCCTAGCAAAGCATTTTCCACTATCTAAAACTTTGAAGTTGAGGAATGATATCTTATCATTATGTCAAAATGAAGGTGAATCAATTTATGAGACTTGGAAACGATTTAAAGAATTTCTTAAAAAGTGTTCACTTCACGCATTACCCGATTGACTTATTATTCAAACCTCTTATAGCAAATTAGTTGGATCTTTAAGATAGATCATTAACGCTGTCGCTAGAGACTCGCTTATGTCAAAAACATATAAAAAAACTTTTTCTCTTATAAAGAAGATGACCACCAATAACTTTCAATGGTCTTCCGAGTGAGTAAACTCCAAAAAGGTTTTGAACATTCACAAAGCAGATATGCTGACTATTTTAACATCTCCCTTATATTTATTATTGACATACGAATTCTTTTTTTTGCATTGAGCGGTAGGTATGTAAATCTCCCTTATATTTATTATTGTTAGAATGCCAATGATAATAGAGACAAACATGGTTAGCTCACATGATGACATTTATGCTGCCTAAGCTATTGTCTTTTCCTGTACTATGCAAATATTAAACAAAATGAGAAATTATCGAGAGCTAAAATAAAAAATAAAAACCGATAATTCTTTTTTTCCGTTATAAAAAATAAAAATAAATTTATTATTAATTATAATTTATATTGGAAACATGTGTCTTTTTAATTAAATGAAGGGTTAAAATTTTTAATTGATGGAAAAAAAATCCTAAAAAAATTATGCCAGATTAATGATAAATAGAACAAAAAAAGTTAGAACAGTGAATCAAACCAATATTAGTACTAAGCGTTTGAGGACAAAAGCTAGGAAGCCATGATCAATAGACAATTGCCGTTTCAGTTTATATCAAAAATTCAAATTTAAGACATTCTAACCACTAATTTTTAACTTAATTGTCACTAAAACTCAGTTTTCCAATAAAAAAATTAGCAATCAAAATGTTAAAAAGCTCAAACTTTTTGCCGCTTAACTAAACCAAGTCACCAAAACGTTCCAACAATTGAAACCAAAGCAGCAGCTCCAAAAACAAAGAATCTCTTCCTTTCAACTGCAATCATCATCACTAACTAATGAAACTTTTCTGGACCAACTGCCACTCTTCCCTCCACTTTTCCGCTCAAGACAGACATCTGTAATCTGAATTCCTTTGGTCACAGCCTTACACATATCATACACGGTAAGCCCGGCAACTGCTACTGCAGTCAGCGCTTCCATCTCAACACCAGTTTTTGACGTCGTCGCCGCCTCTCCCACAATCTCGACGCTGAAATCCTCCTCATTCAAAACGAGACCGACATCAACATGGGTGAGAGCAATGTTGTGGCACAAAGGGATGAGGTTGCTGGTCTGCTTAGCTCCTTGGACTCCTGCAATCTTTGCCACATTCAATACATCACCTTTTGCAATCTGGTTTGCTGCCACTAGGCTAAATGCATGCTTCCCCAAGAGCACTCTGCAACTGGCGACGGCTCTTCGGCTAGTATCTTCCTTCGAGGAGACGTCAACCATTCGGGCTTTTCCGCCATTATCGACATGGGAGAAACCGTGCTTGTGTTCGTTCGATGAGGAAAAAGTTAGATATTCACGAAGTGTAGATTCATCAATGGCGCTGGTTGAAGGAAGCTCGCCGTGCGGGTCACCTCGTAAAGGAGGGTCTCCAAAAATGGACTCCATTTCCTGAGAAGTGGGGAACATTCAGATATGATGGGGTTTCCTAATTTTATTTGTTAAACTCAAGCAAAAGAGGAAGCAGAAATAAAATAATCATATTCATCGTGGGAATGGAGTGCTATAAACATTTTTTTGAATGTAAGAAGATTATATACAACATAAAGCAGGTGAAGCTAATTTGATTTTGTGGAATTTCGCCTATTCTTAATTTTTAAATAAAGAATTAACTTTGTGGAGCTCTACCATTAGCAAGAAAATTTTAAGGGAAATTAACTCATTATTAGAAGGAAACTAGATTCATTATCTTCCACAATACAATGCTATAAGTGCTTTGTAATTTGTGAGGAATAGAGGAACTCTTTGATCTATGATAACATTGATATCACTGTTGAGAAGTAGGATTATTTTATATCTCTACAGAAAAAAAAACATATTAAGACATTGATTCAAAATATTAAAATGCCATAGAAGGACCATCCATCTATAGTAAAAATTTATATATTCTGTCTCATTCTTCAACATCTATATTAAAATAGCTACTGTGGTCACTTCACAATCATTGAGCTACTGAAGAAACTCTTTAAGTTATACACTATTTCTCTCTCCTATCAGCCTAATAGCTATTGTGGTCACTTCACAATCATTGAGCTACTGAAGAAAAGGGTACTCTAACTTCCAGCATCGTCACAAAATAATAACAACTGGTTTTATCTCATCCCACGGCGTAAATAAAGGCAAGTGGAAGGAGCACTTAAGAATAGAACAATTGGAAGAGATCAGCTAGAACAACCAAATATGAAGAGGTCCATCAATAGAGAGTTAAATAGTTAGTCACAAAAGCTACATTCGAATAGATTAGATAAGGCACAAAAGATTGATCACTTCGGTTATGAAAGTTCATGTAAATGGCCGCTTTGTTTTAAAATTAAGTCCAAAATTTATGAGGTGATTTATAAGTTTCTTTAATTTGGCATAAATTATAATAATAGGAAAAAAAAATGATTTGATGTGTAAATATGTAATGTTACTTCTAGAACATCTAATTTTGGCAATTTTCAGGTATAGCAAAAATTTAGCAATCCCTGAAATTCAACAGAAGCACTTTTATAAAATTCTACACATCAAATTGATCAATTTGACATAAAACATTATGCATAAATTTTAAACAGAAGAGAAAATATAAGATTATGAAGTTATAAATTTAATTAACTTTAATTAATCCTAATTTAACCTCTATATTGTTCCCAACCGACTTTTTTCGCACTTAGCTTTGCATCCATCAATCTGATGGATCGAACGGCTGAGACTTAAGGAGTGTGGGTTAAATGCCACATTCCTCCGATTTCCTCTTCCCATCTATCAAATTCGTTTGGTTGAATGTTCTGGGGCCCGGGCACTCTAGCAGGTGCGAATTAGGTGAACCACATAGAGCCGCAAGCAACGATTCAAGATTTCGAGGAGTGATAGAAAGGTAAGAATCCCTCTTTTATGATATTTGTAACATTCATTTCCTTACACCTTATTTTGAACTTTGCCACAAACCGGTACACTTTTTCGTTCCACCTTACACCTTATTTCGAACTTTGCCACAAACCGGTACACTTTTTCGTTCCATGTCACTGTGGTGGGAGGCAATGTAGTGCCAGAAGCTGCAAATTTAATTTTTGGCTTTTGGATTGGGTCGTTAGTAGGAAATCAACGAAGAGAAGTGGAAGGAAAATATGAAGGAAGGAAGAAAGAAATAGAAAAGCATTTGGGAAGAGTTTATGCAACGAAGCACGTTTGAGGTAAGAATACGTAAATAAGTTATGTTTGGAGTTAAATCACGAAATGAGCCCAAATTTCATGAAATCCTAAGAGTTACAGGTTTTTTACGCTAGGTAGCGAGATCGATGCAAGTTTAGGGAAATTTGTCGTATAGCTGCTCCGTCAATTCAAGTGAAATAATCCCTATGCTAACTTGAGAAAATAACTTGTGTTTGACACTATTGCATTTAGAAGTTTCTGCATATTATGGATGACTACTTTTATAAATTGTACAAATGCAACTTAAGTGGTCACTTGTGATACATCTGGTTTTACTGTTATGAATCTGTCGAATAAGCTTATACAATTTTTACTTGTAGGTATTCATTTACTATGATTCATCCTTATGATATATGAAATTTCTGAGATTAATGTTTCTTAAAAAAATTATGATTTAAGAAATGTCACAAGTGATCTTATAGGTAGGCTATCACATAAATAAATGCAAGCATGGATGATAGGGAACGATAAGATTCTCAACCCATGGTAGGCTATCACATAAATAAATGCAAGTATGGATGATAGGGAACGATAAGATTCTCAACCCATGGCATTCAGACGGAGATGATACTCCAGGAACTTTTGGGATAATACAACGATGGAGCGCAGGGGGACTTTTGATACCGTGAGTAAAAATGAGGGCTATTGATAACTGCTATATTGGGGGGGGGGACTTTTATCAATATTTAACGTGGCATTTGGCCTAGATGACGACCTAATGATATGACATGACATTAACATAGTTAAGACCTATATAACTACAAGTGCCATTCATATGATTAGACTGATGATTCTTATGAATATACTTATGATTATACATGATGAATGGAATATATGTTTTATACAACAGTGATGATTCTCTGTATTACATGTCTTTTCTTTTACATATTTTATATAATTATAATATGGTGTTATTTACATTGTTGACATGTACATGTGTTAGATATTAACATGCATGTTGTTTGTTTTTTGTCTACAAAATCTTATTTTAGCTTGATTATTCCATTGAGCACGTTATTGCTCACTCTATGTTGTTGAATTTTAGAATATGATATAGAACATTAGGGCAAGCAGCCAAGTATGGCTTGTACAATTATTGCATTTCATAATTTTAAGAGCTTGTATAGGCTTTTGTGTACATGTTTTATTATGTTATATTTAACAGCTCTGTATAGATATATGTTTTGATGATATGATTTTTCACATTTCTGAGAATATGTGAATATAAATGAATTATGAAATAAAATGCATCAATATTTTTGCAATAATTTAGTTAAACTAATTCATCATTTACTGATTCTTGATTTTGCAAGTCAGAACAAGTGTCAATGAGAATTTAGTTTGACTGAATTATCCACTTCTATTACACTGCAGTTGACCATTAGTGAGGCAATTGAGGTGTGACAGAAAGTGACATCAGAGAGAGATTATTGATTGAAAAGAATAAGTGAAGCGTGTTAGATTTAGAAGTAAGAATGAGATTAAATATGAGTAAATTTATATAGAGCTATATGTTGATGAATCTAGAGTGGGTAACCCATATGACCAAATGTATCATGCATGCACGATACAATTATTACATAATAAATTACATTTATATAATAAATTGTGTCAAATCAGATGAATATAACTGAAAGAAAATTAAAAAGTACTGAGGATCTGTCTCTTACGCCAATTGCAAAACAAGAAGTAGAACTTGACTATGTCTTGAACATAAGTGGTAATCAAGCAAGATAAATGAGAAAACTAGAGCCACTGAGTTGCAGACCATTGTTCAGTTGATATTGTAAGTGGTTAGCAAAATGGATGTTATTGAAAGATCTTCTACTGGTACATGATCCAAATTTGAACTTGGGACAGAAGTTGATCTACATATAAGACCATTCAGACATTTAAGCCACTTGCATTCAAGGGTGTTACCTACCCTACAACTGCCAAATATTGGCCATCAAAGATCGTAAAGATTCTAGATTGTATGATTTGTTTAAAAAATAGGAGAGTGTTGCTAGCACTTTCATGTTAGAAGGCATGGCTGAGTGGTAGTGGCCAACACAACATAGAAAAAAATTTTAGCTAACACCACTTCTACAGATTCAGTGAGATAATTTTGTTTAAGTCTTTAAGGATTGGTTTACTCCACCTTCAGCCAAGTTAATATTGCGAGATAAATTGTTCAATTTAATTTAGGAGATCAGATCAATTATACAATATGTGATAAAATTTACTTCGTTCTATGTCAGTGCCTAGAAAAATAAGGTCACAAATTTCTGCACGACCTCAAAGATCAGTTGAGGTTGACTTTAGCACCGTTCAAAATCAGTGATTTCTAAGTCCTAGTTGAAAAATCTGAAAGAATTAAAAATAAACTGAACTTTTTCAGTCAATGGTGTAAATCTCAAGCAAGCAAGAGAAAATATTTTGCCAAAGACGAAAAATTTCAAAGCAAAAAAATTAAATCAGAAGGTAAGCAGAAACAACCTCAGCCAGAAAGGCTAGCTTATTAAAAATCTGAAAAAAGGGCATTTTGAGCAGTTTTTGTTGGGTCCATAAAAGTGTTACGAATATGGACAGCTAGGGCATATTCAGATGAACTGTTTGTAGGAAAAAAAGAGACAACAAATCACTTAAAATTCAGGGACAAGGACAGCTCAAGAAATTTTTGGAAAGCAGTCGGTCCATCAAAACTCAATTTTTCGGAAAATATTCAACTCAAGTCAAGGGTAAAACTTCATAGCAAAGAACCGAGCAACTATCCCTCAAAAAAATAAAGAATCTAAAGAAGTGGCTACAGGTATGCTTCTGATTCAAGATCAGTCTGATTTATTCAATTCAGGTGCATCATATACCTTAATTTCTGATGAGTTGCTGCAAGTTTATCTATTAATATTATATACTTTACTCATGCATAATGTGTTCTTATGCCTTCGGGAGAGGGATTCTATATAAATAGAAAATTTATAGTTCATGCTAATATTCATGATAAGTTGTAAGCAAAGTTAATTATAATAAAAATTCAGATTTTCGATGTTATATTGAGAATGGACTGATTACAAAAGAATTTTGCTACGATTAAATGTTGAAAAATGCGAGTCAAACTCAAATTTTCCTAGTGAAAAGCCATTCTATATCTAATATGATAAAAGTGCATAATTCTCTCTGATTAGTGCAATAAAATTTGGAAAGTAATAGCAAAGTGGTGAACTGGTGTTTTCAGCAAAACTAGAAGTGGTGAATAAAGACGTGCAACAATTAAAAAACATCTCATTTGTAAAATTTTATGATGTATTTCATGAATAATTATCAAGGCTACCATCGGAACGAGAAGTTGAGTTTGGCATTGATGTGCAGTTAGAGACGTCTGCAATTTTCAAGTTGTTTTACAGGATAGCTCCAAAAGAATTGCAAGAATTGAAACATTAGTTATAGGAACTGATAGATAAGAGTTTTATGAGATCAAACAATTCACCTTGGAGTGCTCCTGAATTATTTATCAAGAAAAAAAATGAATCTATACAATTATACATTGATTATAGAGAGCTGAACAAGGTGACAATCAAAAATAAATATTTATTACCAAGGATCGATGATCTATTTGATCGGTTAGAAGGCGCTATTGTATATTTTCAGATTTAGCTGAGATCAGAATATCATCAGATTGGCATATCTGAGATCGGGATAACAAAATCCTAGCTTATAATTATTTATTTGTCTTTGGTTGCAAATGTTATCCATGGTTAGCATCACACTCCAAAAACAAACATGATCATAAATCTATTTGTAGTATTTTTGTGGGATACGCCTCCTCACACAAAGGATAAAAATGTTATCCTTCCATATGCAAAATTATAATCTCTCGCAATGTTCACTTTGATGAAAATCACATACTTTACACATCTTTTGCACAATCTCATACAACACCAACTTCAATTCATGCACCCACATCCTAGTTCTAGTGACCTCAATCACTCAACATATACATAGCTCACCTCTATCAACATCCATACAAAAAGATCATTCACATCACATTTCATATCCTGCTGCCATCTCACTTGAAACCTCATCTCTTATCAACAATCTCGCATCTCACATCTCAAACACCAATTGATCAACCAATTCTCTTTACAATAACTCTCACAAACACGCTCCCTAATCATGCCAAAAAACTCAAATCCAATTTATCCAACACATATTTATCTTCTCAAAAAGGCTATTTACGGTCCCCAATATCCACCTATCTTAAGCGGCAATGATTCATTTGTAGCACAGTTGACCCATCTTTGCTGTTTTATCATACTCCAAATATTCATGTTTATCTATTTATTTATGTTAATGACATACTAGTCACTGAAAATGATGAACACTTTATTTTTACTTTGTTCAGCATTCTCAATTAGAGATTGCATATGAGAAACATGGGATAGATTTCTTACTTTCTTGGGCTTCAAGTTATGCCAACAGCTGCTGGGCTCACTCATAGTCAAGCCAAAAATGCAAAGGAAACTATTCAAAAAGCAGAAATAATAGATTTCAAGTCTATTGCCAATTCTCTTCTTACCAAACTGATTCCAAATGATTGTTTCAGCAGAACTATATTGGATCGTCTATTATATCGCCTGTTATTAATTCATTGCAATATCTTATATTTACTAGACCGGATATTTTATTTGTTGTGAGTAAAGTTTGCCAATTTATGCGTCAACCTATTCAACGTCATCCCCAACTGCTCAAAAGCATTCTCCAATAAATTTTAAAGGCACTTACAATTATGGACTGACAATAACCAAATGAGACTTCACAATTCATGCGTATGCGGACTCACACCGGGCAAGTGATTTCATTGATCATAAATCAGAACGGACTATTGCACTTGTTTGGGCAATAAATTTCTCTCCTGGCATGTCAAAAAACAATCAACAATGGCTCATTTCCATACTAAAACTGAGTATCGAGGCCTACCCTCTGCTACAATTGATAGTATCAGGATTTGTCAACTATTTCAAGCATTTCTTTTTGATTGGATAGTACACCCTTAAATTGTGATAATATATCTGCTATGTCTATTACAAATAATCACGTGTTTCATGCCCGCACAAAAAAATATTGAAATTGATCACAACTTCATTCGTGAATATATTTTGTCCAAGATTATTGTTGTCCATCACATTTCTTCTCAAGCTCAGCTAGCAAATATCTTTTCCAAGACTTTATTCACCCAACAATGTGAACTTTTGCGTCACAAGTCACTAGCTTGAAGAGAAGCAAAAATACAACTCATATAAATACATCCATACACCAAACATCAGAAATAACAACTACTCATGACACTAGTTCTGCAAAATAAAAAATGGCAGCTACCTTCTCTGCATTATCACCACATGATTCTAATAGACTCTCTAATCTCAGCCATTCATAATCACCAAAGGCTGCTACTCAAACTACTATGGGCATACTAGTCTTTCTACTTTAATCTCACTCCCTGTACTTCTATATATATATATATATATATATACCACAACAACCGGTATATATCTCACAACAATTCATTTTGTTATGAACAAATAGATTGACATACATAGAAATACTTGCAGCTCTCCACTTCTATCTTTCTTTGTTTTCATTTCTACTATTAGATGAACTCAACATCATATGTATGCAACAGTGAATTCACACTTAGAAAAAACAAACCTCTTCTGATGTGAGAAGTAAAGCAGGAAACTAAGTAACAAAAAGTCACAAAAAGGCAGAAATATATTTAACATTATTCAGTGGAAATACTCAAAAGGCAGCAACATGAAGCAGAAAATCCCCGCAGCAAAGGGGAGGAAATAATGAATTCTTTTTAAGGAAACCCAAGTCGGAAAAACCCAAAGCAGAAACTATTTACCTTATTCAAATCCGCAATGGCTAGATCATAGTTACTGCTTCTGCTACTCAAAAATCTTCTAAATAAATAGCTTGCCCTAATCTGTCCAAGAAAAAATCTTTCCATGCAAAACATCAAGATGACAGATTTATGGGCGGCAAAAAGAAGTTCTGCAAAAAACAAAATACCCGATAACGTCACTACCTCATCAAAGGTTGTTAATTCGAAAAAGGGGTAAATTTAGTGAGATCCAATTCACAATCAAGACCGAAGTTGATCAGATCATCATAAAACACAGGCAAAAGGAATAAGCCGCAATTTCTTAAGCAGCAGCCAATGGGTAAGATTGCATATATTTTAATTAAGGCCCTAAGTTTGCATATATTTTTCTACTCCCGATTCATTCATCGTGATTATAGGTAAGATTTGGACGTTACAAAGGGAATTGTGCCCTGCTCATATTACAGAGAAGATGAAAGCGAACAGAGCAACTAGCATGTACGCGAAACCTAAACTATAATCATCCAAAGAAGAAAGAAGAAAAAGAGATGAAGTATAATCGCTAACTTCACTGGTGCATAGAACACTGAGATTTTAAGATTGCAGGAGGCGTAGAAGAGTCGAACTAGAGAAGCGAGGCGAAATATCATGCACTCGGAGTTGCGACGCACGCAGTGGCAGCCTTGTGGGAATTGGGAATTCGAGAGGAATTGGAGGTCGCGTTTGGGACAAAAAGCTCAGAAGGCAAAAAATGGATTTTTTCAATCTGAGCTATAAACTATCAAAAACTATCAAAATATTACGATTTAAAATTAAAAAAAAAATAAAATAATTTTATAGAAAATACTTTTTATGTCATCATGCATTCGGAGTCTAATGGTGAGACACCACGTGTTAAGTGGGTTTCACCGTAATAAATTGATATTGACAAATGTTAAAAAATGATGGAGCTCACTTGACATATGACGGCCCACCATTAGATTCCGAATGCATTAGGAGTCATGATGCAATATTTTTCCCCCATACAAATCCTAAAACAATCATATCGAAATAATTTTATTTGAGGCATTTTTTGGGGAGCTGGTGAACTTGAGTTCGATTGGAGTAGATGTATACTGCAAAATTTCAGAGACAAGTGTCTCCAAAATTTGTTGTTTCAGATCACAAACTTTTAAAAAATTTTGATAAATGTTACCGCTGTTTCAGATAAGATCAAATTGAACCATAATGATAGTTCAACTAATTCCATAAGCATTTTACCTGAGAGTGATGACTAAATTTTTATACATATTAAATATTTGGGGTTTTAACATATAAATCACTCAAAATATTAAATATTTTACACTTAAAGTCTTTTTATATTGTAACATTTGGAGATCTTTACGATTTGTTCCATATTTTTAATATTAAGTGGCATGTAATTTAGTGCATTTTGCGCTCATTAGTTCTTACACATATAATAAATCATAGTACTAAAAGAAGTCTGCTTAATTTTCATAAATGCAAACAGTTTCAAATTGTTGCATCCATGTAACTTTCATTCGTTGATATAAATATGAATTTTGCATTCCTAATATTACTCTCTTAAATTATTTGTGCTTAATCACACATGTAATAAGTTGGGATTGGAACATATTCATATTATAGGTGAATGTTTTTATTATACACCTACATACATAAATAAGTTGTGAGCAAGATATATACTATAATGATGTGTTGTTACAATCTATTTGCCCCAATTCCTAGGTCATTAAGGACTTGTACTCTTTTTTCTATTAATTTTAATATTATAATATATTCATTGATTTGCATTAATTTGCTATATGATACTTGATGGTTGATAATATGAGGGTTCATTGTGTTGATGTCTAGTGTATTATGTCCTCACTCATAGATCAAACTTATTTAAAATATAAAAAAGCAAGCTCGGTTCTTTACATGGGACATAACATATGACTTATCAACCTTTAATTTTGTTAATGTTTATAGCATATTGTATTCTTGTGAGGTTACATATACTCTAAGATCTATTTTACTCTAAGATCTATTTTAGAAAAGATATTGTTGGCTCACTTCATAGACATGCCAATTTTTCATCTTGTTTATCTTAAAATATGTTTTTCTTTCTTTTCAATCCATTTTCGGTTTCAACATGATAAGGTGGTTAGATAGAGTTGCTAGCCCACGTAGGATGTACATCCAGTTTATGAGCTATTTTGGTCATATGAGACCGAGTTACAACATCTATTTTGGCATCTTATTTATCATTTAAAGGCAATGACCTTGCTTTGGCTTGATCCAACATGATCAAATTATAAATTATATCTATCCTTTTTTTTATATATATTTTCTCTAACATATTATGGAGATGTTCGAAGCTCTTGATATCAAGAATCAAGCTATATTTCCAACCACTCAACCATAAAATCAAGGTAGTATTGTCACCCTAGGTATGTATCATTACACATAGTATTATAGATACTATCTGGGTTTCTCCCTCAAATGCTAGTAGAGTGTGTATCTTGTCTATCAGCCTACTAATTAGTCTACTCCCTTGGTCTGCAAGTTCCCCTTGAATGAGATAAGCTATGGTTGCAAAAAAAAAAATCATGTCACAACTAATAATTTAAAAACACTAATGAACCAAAATAATGTAAATCGTGATCTTAAATGGGGTCATCACATCCATTGGAAGGTTAATCCCCTCATTATTATTATTTTTTTAGTTTGAGAAAACAATAATAAATGGAACTGGAAGGCCAATTATGACCATCTCTTTCCAAGCATTATAGAGTTGCAGTTCATATTTTGTGCCAATTTTCTAGGGCTTGAATTTAGTGTGCTTTGGTTTGACTCATGCATGGCTTAATGAGGTTTGGTTTAGGTTGAACTCAAAATGAATTAAATTTGATTATTAACTTACCTAAGATAATTTAAATTAATGTAAAATCCCTTTCATATAATTTAAATTAATGTAAAATCCATCAAAATTAATTTGAATATTGAAAACAACTTAAAAACTTAACTTGATGTAACTTAAGTCGATTTAAATTAATATTAAAAACTTTCTTATTCAAGTTAAATCATGAATTCACTTTACTATACATTTAAACCTAAAAGTGTGACTCAAATATACATTTATATACATATATACATACATATAAATTATATAACTGAATATACATGCATGCTTTTATGCACTTATGTATATAGATGTATTAGCGAGCCACAAAACTTAAACATGGTATAACTAAAGCTCTCTTTAATAAATCAACATCTAAATTAAAACTCTGCAAAATCATAAGTGTAAGCAAATAAAAAATTCAAATTTTAAGATTAAATAGAATCCATTTAGATTTAATTCTATGTGTGTGTGTGTGTGTGTGTGTGTGTGTGTGTGTGTGTGTGTGTGTGTGTGTGTGTGTGTGTGTGTGTGTGTGTGTGTGTGTGTGTGTGTGTGTGTGTGTGTGTGTGTGTGTGTGTGTGTGTGTGTATATATATATATATATATATATATATATATATATATATATATA